GGAGAGAGAGAGAGAGAGAGAGAGAGAGAGAGAGAGAGAGAGAGAGAGAGAGAGAGAAGGATGTCTATTTTCTGGGATGCAAAAGAAAGGAGGACAGGGTAGAGGAAGCAATCATGAAGGAAACTATGCGGTGTACAGAGGTGGAGGAGGAGGAGGAGGAGGAGGAGGATAAGGGGGAACAGTGGGATGCAGGAGAGAGAGGAGGAGAAGAATCGGGAAGACGGTCATTCGTCTTCTCTTCTTGGTTAGGGGTCTAAAGTTTATAGTACTTCATACACGTTTATTTTCTCTTTACTTCTTATTTTTTGGGGGAAAATAGGTTTTTCTTTGCCTCTTTTTTTTTGGGTTGCGGAAATTGCATTCTTTTCTAGCAATCCTCTTCATTGCAGGCAAACTGGCAACAAGGCATGTACAAAACCCTGACCGTGTTTGCCGAAGTTTTTGTTACGTGTCTTATGACTCACAACTTATGAAGATTTGCTGGGCAAGAGGTGGAATAGCCTCTCGAAGCCTTGTTTGCTCCAGTGACAAGGGTACATGCTACAAACGCATGTCCTCTCTCATCTTCAATCTGTCTGCTGGAGTGCGAAGAGCACATTCTACACGCATGTGATTTGGTATCTTCAATCTGTGTCTCTTATCTTCAACCCGGGTCTCATTTATATTGTCTTTTTTCTAATAGAGAAATACTTTTGGTTGTTTATCCTGCTTTGTGTGTTGTATGTTGCAGGAGCTCATACAAAGACAGAAAGATCAAAACCGCCTCGGGCCTCCAAGACCCCTCTTTGGACTACGGTGAGCTATGAAACATGCATCATTTGCCATCATAGGCATAGCGAGCAGGAGGGGGGGAGTGAGAGGAGGGGGTGGAGAGGGCTGGAGAGGGCTGGAGAGGGCAAGTTGATCCGTTTATCGGGCAGTGAGGCATTGCTTCTCACCTCGCCAATGTCACAAGATGAGAGAAGTGGGAGACGGGGAGTCCTTGGTCCGCAGCTGAAGGTCCTGATCACACATTGTCACACACATAGTTTGGCAACTCCGTCTAGAAGACTCTGTGTTAGTTCTTTTCTCCCTCTCTATTTTTTTTTTTTGTGGTAAAGTAACCGGACTGTTGCCCCCCAGAACAGAAGGGGCCTTGTGTTGCAAAAAAAAAAAAAAAAAAAAAAAAAAAAAAAAAAAAAAAAAAGAAGCATTACTGTAATAACTTAACAAGTACTAATAACTGGATTTGAGCTCTTGAGCTGTTTATAAACAGTTACATGTGTGTAGCATTCAGCTCATTTTTCCCATCGCCACGGCGCGGCGGTGTGATTTACCTGGTATTTTCCTTGAAGCTCCTATATCATGACAAAATTAGTAAAATTACTCAGAGGCTAATCGTAATATGTGACTGGCTGGACCAAATCTCATTGGCTTCTGCCTTCTTACATTACACTGATTACAGGCACAGACTGTCACCTTAAGGCATCACCAAAGCATATCTTCTTCAGCTTTCCTTATCATCAATGATTGCTGTCTGCAATGGATGGTCATTTACACAGGCGGGCTTTTTTTAAGAGACTTTGTTTAAGATTTCGTGCACTCATTCTTCTGTTCGACGTTCCTTTGAAAGCTCTGCTGTTTACACTCATGCTTGTCATTCCCTCCACTGAGGAAACGTGCTCGTGCACACTCACTTATTGCTTTGCATGCGCCGCTTCCATAAGTGTGTATTTACTATTTACTATTTACTATTTAGGGTGAGTTACAACGTACAAGTTACAACACTTTATTTGAGTTTATTAGCATCCTGCAGAAACACAGATCCTGGTCCGGTTATTTACCAGATCTAATAAATCATAAATGCTAAATGTTTTCCTAAACGCAGTGGAGTGCTGGACTGTGTGTGTGTGTTGGTGCGTGCAGAGGTGAGCCAGCAACCCCGGAGGAAGGTGCAACATATGTACACAACATCTCAACTCTCCTCCACGAACAGGCATGTATGATGGCATGCAGTGCCACACACCTTTTTCTTTCTGTCCTGCTGTCATAGCGCTTTCCTCTCTGCCGATCACAATTGTATTTGAGTTTGAGAGAGCCTGTGTCTGTCTCCATATGGATTTTTTTTATTTTTATTTTTTCCTGCAAATAGTCTCGTATGGCCCCGTCTCTGGGTATTTTTCGATTTATTTTTGTTCTTTTAAAAGAGTACGCCCTTGATATATCACTGTAGAACTGACTGGCCCCATGTGTTTCAGAAGTCGATAAATTAATATATATATTATTATTATTTTTTAATTTATTAATTTCTGAAATACCTGGGGCCAGTCGGTTCGACAATGATATTCATCTGGATTCAAACTCAGGTCTGTATTTTAAACCACCAGTACCTTGGAGCCTCTTTTTCCAAGTGCGGATTTGCACTGCATGCGAGAGAAATAACGGACCGGCAGCAGCACACTTCTTTTCCTTTTTGGCTCGCGCTGTCAGACATTTTGGTCGGGAAAGAACCAAAATGGTGGGCGATTTCGATTCTGAAGTTTGTCTGGCCGAGGTACTGTTGGTTTAAGAGTTCATGCCTGTACCAACTGAGCTGGGCCTGTTGATTGAAAACAGACACGTACAAGGCATTTCGTTCTTTCCTGCTGTCATAGCTCTTTTCTTTCTGCTGGAAACAGTTGTATTCGAGTTTGAGATCGCCTGTGTCTGTCTGTATGTTGGGAGAGGGAGAGAGAGTTTGCCGACTGGTTGAGTCAATATGGATTTTTTGAAATGCTTTTTTTATTTTATTTTTTTCTTTTAAAAGGGGGACGGCCTGAAGAGATCATCGTTGAACTTACTGGCGCCAGGTGATTCAGAATACTAAGAACACTAAAGCTTATCAGCCAGGCGTGCCTCTACTCATGTCAAGTCCGCTGGCTGACTGCGGGTTTCTGATCGCCGATGGTGTTGAACAACGGTTGAAAACGTGAGTTCAGTTGCCAAAACCCTTTTTTCAAGTTTTGTGGTTATTCAACGTGTATTCTTTGGTCATTCTTGCGTAGTCGATGCCGAGACCCTTCCTCTCATTCGGCGTCTCTCTCTCTCGCACTCTCCCCCCCTCCCCTCCTCCTCCGCTTTTCTCTTTCCCTCAGGCTCTCTCTCTCTCTCGCACTCTCTCCCCCTTCTTTCCTCCGCCGCTTTTCTCTTCCCCTCATGCTCTCTCTCTCACTCTCTCTCTCTCTCTCTCTCTCCATCTGTCTGTCTGTTGGTCGATCGGTATGTATGTCTGTCAGTCGATTGGTCTGTCTGTCTGTCGGTCGATCGGTCTATCTGTCTTCCTCCCTCCCTCTGTGTGTGTGTGTGTGTGTGTGCATGTCTCTCTCTGTCTGTCCGTCGCTCCGTCACTCCGTACATACGTACGTACGTCTCTCTCTCTCTCTCTCTCTCTCTCTCTCTCTCTCTCTCTCTCTCTCTCTCTCTCTCTCTCTCTCTCTCTCGTCGCTGGTTAGCTTGCTCTCCCCTATCCTGCCCTAGGATATAACGTACCCAATGCTACCCTAGTGTATATTCCCTACCCTGCCGTAGCCTGGGGTATACCCAACCCTGCCCTACCCTAGAGTATACCAACGAATGCAAGAGCGTATCCCCACCAAGAGAGCTAAAACAGCCAGTGGACATCTGCAAGAGCGGACTGACCCTTCCCACCCAAAATCCAACTACGAGCATTTTAAACCATACCCTACCCTGCCGTACTGTAGGGTATAGCCAACCGTACCCTACCCTAGAGTATACCAATGAAGGCAAGAGTGCATCCCCCACCAAGACAGCTAAAAGGGCCAGTGGACACTGGACACCTGCAAGAGCGAACCGAGCCCTCCCACCCAAAATCCAACTACGAGCATTTTAAACGACCAATACCTCCTCGACTCCTAGGCTGTTTTTCCCAATGCGGATTTGCACTTCGCCCCAAAGGAAAATGGGCTGTCAGCAGTAAAGTTTTTCGAACTTTTTTCCTCTTTTGCCTGGTGCCACCAGCCATTTTGGTCCAGTAGCACTGTTCATCCGAAATCTTCAGATTGCGTCAATTTTAATTCTCAAGTTTCTGGGGGAGGCTTCTGGTGGTTTAACTGCAACAACTTAAATATATGATAATATTATAATAATGATATTGTAGCTGGAGTTACCGCGGCTGCTGGCCCCTATGATTCCATCGCACCTGACTCCCTTTCAGTAGGAACTGCGCCGGCCCCTCTTTTATTTATTATTTTCCGAGCAAGACATTGGGCTGGTGGACCTTGTGATTGCACCACACCCAACTGCCTTTCACCTTTCATGCAGGTGGAGCTGCACTGGCCCCTCTTGCATTATTTTGCAAGCCAGACATTGGACTGCTCAGTAATTGGGGAAGGAGCAAGCCATCCCATGCAGAACAACCTTGAGGTTGGAATCCGTTGGATCAACTTGGATGCTTTTACCTGGTATTCAGCCAGGTGCTGCTCCCCACCAATAGATGGATCTTTTTTTCAAAAAAACAAAAAAAAAAAGGTATTCAGCCAGCGTGTCCACCGCCCTGCCTGAACATCATGGCAATGGAAAGTAAAGCTTACGGAGTCTCTTGAATCTTGATTGATTGGGCACTGGATAGCGAAATGGACCAAACACCAGCTACATCTGTATGTTGTTATGATCAGGGCAAGTTAAAAAAAAAAAGGCAAAAACGCCTAATAAAGAGGCTGCACACTCTTGACTTGTAGGCTTCCTGTCATGGGATGTGCTGTGCACACTGTGAGTCCATGTCTACTACATCTACTTCATCTACTCCAGCTACTCCATCTACTCCATCTACTACATTCTATTAAAGTTCCTACGGTCGGGACCAGATTCTGCCGTTTTGTATATTGGCCGTCCGATGAGCAACGCATGTTCCGGATCCTATCCACGGTGCCCCTCAAAAGAACGGATGGAAACGTGGGTTGAGTCCTGGAAATCACTAAGGGTTTGTGGCGGCATTGGCTGAATTCGAATGGCGCTGAGAAAAAATATTCCCAACAAGTAAAACCCAAGAAAAAAAAAACTAAATTGGGGCTCATGCGTCATCCAGAAAGGAAATGCGCTATCTGCTTTAGTTTGTTCAGGCAGGATCGTGGACATTTTCCTCTCTGGATAGTGGGCCTCGCCGCCCTGCACACGAAACAAAAACGAACCCAGTGAATCTGCCAGCAGAAAATGGAAGGATGGATCCAACTCTACTATGTAATAGTAACAAATGTATTGTTCCACCTTCTGTCACCGGATGCATTCGATTTTCTTTTGTTTTGTGTGCCGTGCGGTGAGGCCCCGTGCCAACAGCGGGTCACTGCACTACTCTCAAAAGGTGCAAAATGAGTCTGAATCCTCCGCCAGAACATGGAAAGATACACTGCCATATTATTTGTCTTTTGTGCATGTCGGGAGTGGAGGGAAGCCCAGAGAGAGTGCAATTCGGGGAGCCAGTTTTATGGGCAGCCCAGACTCGCTCAGCTCAAAAAAAAAAAGTAAATAGGCGAGTTTGCGACGTGACAGTATTTACCTTCCTGGGCAGCGCAGAGGATAACGGGCGTGGCGAAGTGTGCTCTCTGTCTCACGCGCGTGTCGCAGAGTGCACTCCTGATCTCTCTCTCAGCGGTGGGGTCAGAGGTCGGTTCACACTCAGCAAAAAACGCACGCCGAGTTCTGGCAATATATGGGCTGCACACAAACCTGCTTGGCGAAGTGCACTCTGTCGCAGAGAGAGAGAGAGAGAGAGAGAGAGAGAGAGAGAGAGAGAGAGATTATACAGTTAGACCATGGATATCTCCCTGTTGTTTTCCATGTGTGCGGGTGTAGCCGCAATGGCTTTCTTTTTTTATTGGACCATTTCTCGTTTTTCATCCTTGCGCAGGGCCATGCTTATCTTCTCTCTCTGTATCGTTCCAATTTTAACGGATGTCCCGAAGGACTAGCGGCAATGGCTTTACTTGTGTTGTATTATGGATTCTACTTGAGCCACATCAATTTGGTCAGATTGTTGACTTGCATATAAGCTTATTGTTGTGGTGGTTGTGCCCATTGTGCGCATGGTGCTTCACTGGCTGGCTTTTGCTTGTGCAGATGGATGTCATTTTCAATGTTATAGGGACACCCTCATGGCAAGACATCAAGAGTGTGCCCGGTGAACGCTGGCAAGCGTATTTGAGAGGTCTACCTGGAAGAGTGAGTGACTGGTTGGGAGAGAGTGAATGAGCAAGCGAGTGTGTGAGTGAGTGAGGGAGGGAGGGAAGTGGGGAGGGAGGAGGGAGCTGGAGAGGGAGGGAAGTAGGAAGGGAGGAGGGAGGGGGGAG